AGCTGTCTGGGTGACTTGGGGCCCATCGCTCTTTTTCAGGCCAATCAGCTTCATAGGGCTGTCATCGTGAGGCTAAAATGAAGAGGATGAGGACCTTATAAGCAGCTTGGGTTCTTATAGGAGGAAGAAAGGCAGGGTACATACGTAGCGTAACAACAATAACAATCCCCACCATCAGAGGTGGTGTTAAGGAGCGGCTTGTTAGAGTTGGAGCCCTGAAGTTTCTGAATGGAGCCCCAGATTCCTGGAGCGTCAAGTTTCATCTGCCCCATGGCTGTGCTGTCCATGAGCTCTTGTTGGAATAAAGGTGAAGGAACCTGATGTCCCCTGATCCTCAACTGGATTACTGTTTGTTGGTTTGTGTGTTTGAGCACCTGGGCTTCACCACTTGCTGCCCCTGCTTTGAATTTTTCTGCCTGGGTCCCCCCACCCCACAGAATCACACCCCCTCCTCTTTCCTGTTCATAACCCTTTCTTACAAATAGAAATGTCTTGGGTCATTTGTATAAGAAGAGAGGCATTTGTATAAGGGTGGGCTTCCAGTTCAGTCAAATCCAGAACTGAACTGGGCTGATTTGGACAGCTTTGGGAGATGTCATGAGTGGAGCAGGTGTCCTCCAAAGCAGATGGCGTCTGACTCTGCACCAAACTGTTCTGATTGGATTCAGAGGGGCAGAAAGACAACAACGTGTACCTACAATTTAATACCTTTTATCCCCAAGTGTTTCTTATAAGGGAACCACCAGGATGCAGGGAAAAGAGGGTGCATTGTTTTGTAACTGGATAACGTTTAACCACAGTGGATGGTTTCTTCAAGCCATCCCCCCATGAAGGCATGGTGGGGGGATGATGAAATTGTGTGACTCAGTGTGCAGTGTGCTTTTAAAATTCTGTATCCCTTCTTTTTCCTGCAAGGAACCCAAGACAATTTACACAACTCTCCTTGAACCTGCATCTTCCAAGCCCCACTCTAATGCTCTGGCCACTAGACTGCACTACGCCGGCTCTCTTTGCTAGTTCTCATTCCCAGAAGCCAGGATATTAAAAGAACAATTTGGTGGGGGTCTGTGGGACCTGGGAGGGTGCAGCATTGCTTGCTTGCTTGGAAAATGCTGGATGTTGAAGTCCTGTCTCTGCCGTTACATGCTCAAGTTTATCACCTTAACCCAAACCTTATTGCACTTTCTATGACTTTGGTGCTAAGCAGAAAACAAAAAAGGCCGTACGCTTTCTTTTCTGATCTATCATGCCTTGCTCTCCCCTGCACCTATCCTTCTGAAACATTCCAAATTTCTTGCCTAGGGACCCCTGCTTGACACATGTCATTTTCTCGGGGGGAGAAAACACTTTTGAATCTTTATATTCATTTAAAAAAAATTGTACTCAACTTTCTGAAATGCTGTGGGTAACTTCACTAGGGCCACCTATATGCTGCATGTGATGTTTATAAATATTGCCTACGAAAAAGCACACAGATAAACATAGTTTGGGACAACCATAAAAATTACCCTTACGTAATACTCAATGCACCGTTTCACCTGAAACTTTGCAGGCTTGATTGACCCAGAGGGGAAAACTCTCTCTGAAAATTTTATCCTGTCTTTTCCAAAATGAAAAAGTTACCATCAGTTCCTTTTCTTTAAGACAATCCAAACTATATAATGCTGCACTTGTTAGTTGGAAATTTGGCAGCACAGTCCTCTCATAAAGGGCTTCTATATCTGCAGATGCCACTGAGTTTTGACAGAAAGAATATTAGAACTGTTTGTTGATTTCCAATGCTTGTCAGTGAAAGGCAAAAGATTCAGACTTCTGAATTTTGATTTGGGTGTACACCCAAATCTTATCAGCGGAATCAGTTTGAGCAGAATTAGGCTATTTTCCAAATCACTAAACTGGGGTTCAAACTATATTTTAGGGTTGCTGTGAATTGTACACCCAAGCTATTTGGAAAGGAGCAGCCAGCAGACCGGTGGATGCATTTAAAGCGGTAAATGGACAACAGAGAGAGCTTCACATTTAAGCAACAGTGGCCTTTAAAGAGACACAATCATGCTTTGGATGTTATCAATCATTGTTCCAAAGCTTAGTCCATGATAATCTCAGTGCTCTGTTTTAAATCCTTTCTCTATTGGCCAGGCCTGGCCCTGACATTAGACATAGTGAGGCAGCTGCCTGAGGCAGCAGATGTTGAGCAGGCAGGTACTGAGCTGCTGGATGACCGAGGGCCCCTTCTTCTGTGGCCTGGCCTGTGCATGCAAAGATGTCCGGCTGCCCTCGGCTGCAGGGGAAGACACGGTCCCATCACATGTGTCTAAGAAAGAATCAAGTGGCTGCCCAGTTGGCTTCTGTAGGAAAATTTGGTGTGGGGGGAGCCACCATCTTGTCCTTCACCTCAGGCAGTGGGGAACTCTGGGAATCTGGCTATGTTTGCTGCAGCACTCGTGGAAAAGATCGGTTGGCAAATACTGATGTGGTCTGTTTCTGTAGCTTCTCCACTCATAGGACTATCATTGATTGATCAGTGGCAGCACCCGTTCTCCTAGTCATGGGAAGGATCTGGACAGAGTCCCTGTGCCTGCTTCTTAGCATAATTGGGCTGCAAAGGGAGAACTCACAGAGAAGGATTGTGCTGTTTTTCAGTTGTGCTACAACACTGCTACTGAAGGGGTCTCACCGTGCAATTGCAGACCAGTGCTGGCAAGGGAAAAGAAACAGATTTTCTGCAAAGCCAACTGGGCTAGGGAGCTACAGACGTTGAGCAGCTGAAGCAAATGATAAATGAGATTGCCTTAATTAGCAGTTGATGCTCGAAGTAAAAACCTTCAGACTGATATGCTCCCTCTATAGAATCCTATAATTCATCTCTTCTTCCCTGCTCCCTGCCTTGAGTTAATGAACCCAGAAGCCCAATGGCAGTTTAACATTGGGCTGTTTAACCTACCATTAGCCTCTAGTCAGTTCAGATGTCAAAGAGCAACATATGACTTGGCCAATCCGAAGTCACATATTTAAAAAGTCAGCAGCATGTGACCGGTGTAAAAAACAGCAAATCATGGGCAAATGACTGCCTCTAGTATATGTGGTCTGGGTCAGCATAACCAGTGCAACACTGAATCTGGTAAAAGCAACAAGAACAGATAATTTTGTGGCATGTGGTTGATGCATTTGAATAGTTAAGGTCTCAGCCTGCTACTGGTAACATTTATAAAGGTCCCACAGGGGAGGTAAGTAAGTTTTCTTCCCATGGCAGCATTACAGGTCACTACGGGGCGTATGGTGCTCAGGTATTGATAACTGTCCATCTGTCCTGACCACACTGCTATAAATTACTCTTGCAGTGTTGGACTCAACCACACAAAAGCAGAAACCACACCGCAGATGGAATGTACGAGCTGCTTCCATGTGCCAGTTAGTGTAACTGTCCTGAATAAATGCAACTTTTATCAGTTCAGACAAAACATACAACGCATGCAGCTCCCGACTCTTGGCACAAACTGTGTATGCAAGTGTATTCCATGAGAAGAAATTCAGATTTATGTCTCCTGTATTATTAAAAGTCTGAGCCAAAAAGCTTCTTCTGAATGAGAGATAGACACAACATTTACCAGTGTTATTTTGATGTGGTTAAGGAGAAAAGCAAGAATTAATTTTGCAATCAATCTGCTGATAGCATGAAATAAATAGCATGTCAGTCTTTCTAGCCTCAACCTGCTATTCTTGTCCCAAGTTACAAGAGTAACCAGTGAGCTCACTGAAAATGAACAACTTTGTCATGTTGCTATTTGCCTTAGACGGAGGCAAGTATCAGTAGTACCTATAAACCGAAATGAAATCCAGTGACCAATTTGCAAACGCTCCACAACTGGCAGACCCGTTCGGTTTACTAGGATTTGTGCTGAAGCAGTGCTTTTGAAGACTAGACTGTGATTTTCAAGGCTGCATTCCTAAAATTATGTTCAAGCTTGTTAGTTTCAGGATTGAAGCCTCAGGCTCCCTTGGCAATTTTTTTTCCAGAGCAAGTTCTTTGAGGATAAGTCTACAGCAGTTGTTTTCCCACTGGTGCTTGTCCTGGTGTGAAAGTGGGAGGGGGGAATGGGAAGGTATGCCCTCCTCCTCCGTTCTTCCAGCAATTGGATCAACCCAGTGTGAGTGACTGCTGCCTTGAAGCAAGCAGGAAAAGCAAATAAGCATGCATCAATCAGCTTTCATGCCTGCTTCTGTTGATGGGACAAACACATCATAAGCACAATATTGGGTTTGCAACTGAGAGCAAATGTGAACAAACTGGAGTAGGTTTCACAACTAAAACTAGCTTCACAGTTCCTCTAAGACACAGTTAGCAGTATATGTGTTTTTCAAAATGCAAAAGCACCAAAATAAATAAAAATCAGTCACTTAACAGGGATATTTATTTATATTTCATTTATTTCCTCTCTGTATGATTTCCATCTGGGGGAATAAATAGGCACTTCAATAAAAATATATATATTTACAGTGGCAGCCTGAATGCTAGACATCATTTAAAAGCATGGTTCTCCTACAATAGGAGGTGGCAACTACTTAGAACCCAATGCCAACATGGATTATAACAAATCCAGTGAGTATTTTGTTTTTCAATTATTCAGAGAAAATTTAATCCTGATTAAGTATCCTTGGGCAGGAATTCATGGGTAGTTGATGACTGAAACTAACATTTATTTGAAATGCTTCTGTTAATTTAATCTGTGAATATGGCTTAATTATGACTGAATCCTCAATGTAAGAGTAATGAATTATATCAGGATTAAAATTCTAGTACTGCACCACACATTCCATTTCACCTCCTTAGTTTAGGAGACACAAACCTGCATTCTTATAACTTTCATGTTGCTGTGGTTTGAATTTGCTTTAAACTGCGTCGCTAGCCCAGTACTGTTATGCTCCTGTAACATTCCTCTCAAATACAGAATGTCAAAATCAACTTGTAATTAAGCTAAAATTTGAACTCTGTCAAAACCTCAAGGCAAGAAAGTACTCTTTTATTTATTTTTTAAAAACAACAAATAAATGAGAACTACAGTTCACTGTAAACATTTTACACTGGTCTCCTGGACTTTTTACAATGTTCAAGTCATTTTAAATTTATGTGCATTTTGTTTTAAAGCAATTTTAGACCATTATTTTAATTGCAAAACCTTTCAATGCAATCAGTTTAAGTTCCTCGTTACTGAAATATGAATCTTGTTCTAATATCAAATGAGGCAGTTTTGGAGTGAAAGAACTGGATAAGAATTTGCTTTATCTTTGTCCAAAATAGTAAGACCATCACATTTGTTCGTCACTGACTTTGAAATTCACTGTATTGTCTACATTTGTTGTGACCCAGTGACAGCGAAATATTGCATTTTACTTATTCAGCAATTTCAGAAAAACCTTGTGGTAGAGTTACTGCTGAAAATAGCTGCATGCTTTCCAAGTCCATATTATTGCACCTTTATGAGTGGATCTCCCAAACACATCTCAAAAGTGATGGCGACTTTTATGCCCAGATGCTACAGTTAACGGCAATGTTACGGAGGAAAAGGAGGACACCTCCCAGTAAAGACTGTGTGAGACAAAGAGTCGATACAGCAGAACCATGGAGAACAACTGGCACAGGATGACACCTATGGTAATAATCTGAAACACGAAAAGAACGGAACAAGAGAAAAAGCGCTTTAGAAAAGAATACAATTTTACTCAACAATGCATTAAGTAGTACTGAACTTTGTCAGGAATGAATGTTTAGAGGTTCACCCTGGGTTATCAGATCTTTTAAAAACAGCTGCAAGGCTCCACAGACTTTAAAAGGTATCTATAACATACTGTCATTCAAAGAAAGGGCACCCTGACCTGGTCCTAAGTTACTCACATTTTCCTTAATTAGCTCTTTAACAAACCCCATCTCTAATGTAGCTCAACAGTGCCCCCTAGAGCACCTCTTAAATTGGCACCATGCCAGGATACTTGAAAAGACTAGATCTTATTTCTTGTTCTGCAAGATGCACCCCAAATTTGGACTCTTCCACACTATAGCTGGTCCAGTCAGAAAAAACACAAAAGTAGGATTGTTATGAAGATGGGTCTCGCCACCAACTTCAACTGAAAACAGTTTTTACTAAAAGTGAGAATTTGCTCTTGCCTTCCTAATACCATCTAACTGCAGGTCCAGATGTTTTCTTGTACACCATCCTCTCTGCAATGAACTCTGCACATGCTCTGGCAGTGAAGACATTAATCAGGTAGGCAACACATAACCAGCCCAGTTAGACAGAACTTTATTCATCTCTCTCGGGATTTTGTGTATATACTTGCTGCACACCTTTGGTTTCTTTGGCCCCTTTTTATTCCCCCCTCCCATCAATTCCGGTTGTTTAATTTGAAGTTTGGCTATGTTTTAAAAATGAGAACTATATGACTGCAAATATACTAGTACTACTGCCACCACCAAAAGCAACAATATGATTGGGCTTTAGCCACCTAATTTCCCTACATCATGAACGAACGATGGCCAAACTTTTTAAAGGCTATCAAGAAATGAACATTAGAAGAACTTTCAGACTGCAAACTTGAAGACCAGGACTGTCCGTTATGGGTTTGTGTAAGCCACTGTGGCTTTTTTTAGTTGATGGGTACATATAAAAATGCCTTAAAGAAAAACCTAGCATTGTACATGTGTAAAAAGCCTTCTGTAATTAATACTCAGTTATGAAAAGCACCTTTACTGTCTTGAATATACCTACCTTCTCTTGCTGGTAATCTCTAAACATTAGAGATATGGATACAAGACATGGATGACATAAAAACCAAAGTATACAGCCCTGGAAGAAAAAAAAACACACCCTGCCATTAGCTATTTGTCAGCACCAAATCTCACCATTAGTGGAACTTTAGTTCTCTTTTTATATTACCTGTGGAAATTCAATATTCAGTAACTGTCCAACTGCTTCCTGTATCAGGCTGCAGTAATGTATCAGGACCAAGTTGCAAAAAAACTATTTTGTAATTAAACTTTTACACAGCATTTTTACACTAGTTTACTCAGAAGTAATTCTCACTGTATTTGATAGGACTTCTTCCCATGTAAATGTGAGCACCTATGCACATTTACTTGGAAGAAAGCCCTGCTGAACTCAACATAATTTATTTCTGAGTAACATCCCTAGAATTACACTGTTACACTGAATTCACAGCTCAATTCTAGGGATGTTGAACTTTTTCCTCCAAAGTTATTGCTCCTTCAGGAGGCCCCTAAAAAGAATAATACAAGAAAATATATCAGGTGTGCATGTAAGGTACATACCTTTGTGAAGGTGATATAGAATTCTCTTTTCAGTGTACTTCTCTCAATTCGGATGATCTGGTAAAGACTGCAGCCGAGTGACAGAGCAAGGCAAATTCTCAAACCAATGAGAAGCCCACCTGCTAAACTTTGGTGTGAGTGGTAGCTGTGGTGATCAGTATCTTCAAACTGCTCCCAGATCAGTAAAATACTCTGCAAAACAGGAAGGCCACACATTCAGAAAGAGAACGTCCCTGGATGGAACTTCTTCAAATAGCTTTGCTTACATGTAACATACAGATCTGATGGGGCCACATTGTTAGCACAGGAAAAGAAAGGCAGCAAAGCCAGTTCATGGCTGAGGAGAGACTTGAACTAAGGACTTCCTCTTTCACATGTTTAGCTATTATACTGCACAAGTGTAACAACAGAAGAGAATCTTACTGAGGGATTACTAATTTTGGAAAAAGCCTATCCATCAGGAAAGATTTGGAAAATATAAACCAGAACATTCAGGACCAGGGCTTCTCAGGTGGTAAGAGGTTACCCTGTTTGCTCATTCAGCCTTCAAGCAGTTCTTCTGAAACAGTTCTGCAGTCATGTCCATCAAATGCAGGCTTTCAGCTGACACACTTTGAATGACATTCTCAATGAAGCATGAGGACAGGATGGCTCTTCTCTTCAGGTAAGGTCAACCCAGGCATTCCTTGATTATGAATGTCTCCCAACTATTGGGCAAGCTCTTGTGTGGCAAACAGCACACGGTGCAAGACAAACCTGGGTCACAACGACGATGGCAGCGATAGCAGTGGACGTGGGAGTGGAATCCCACTGGAGAGGTTTGCTCTGAGATTTCTTCATCCTGCCTATTGTCCACCCCATGCACAAACTCAGCAGTAAGTACAGCATCTGCATCTGGGAGATTATGTCACACACTAAGGAGGACAAGAATGATAACATCATTAAGTTGCATTAATTCTGGCATTAACAATGACTGCTACGTAAAATGGCTGTGTGGAGGGCTTTAACAGTCCAAGGTCTGTATAAAGTGAAGTCAGTAACAGCTTGTATATCCTTCAATAAAGCAGGCTGGAGAACATAGCCAGAGGGAATAGGAAGTGAACTGAACACTTGGGATGCATCCTGACCACCACTTAGGCCACATTGAACTTTACTTTTGTTCCTTGGTGTCACAGGATGAATCTTTCTGAACAAATGGGCTCAGCCACAAGGAGCTGAGGTCAATACGTATTTAGGGTGGTTTTTGTGAAGAACACCCTACACGGAAGATCATCACTTCTGTCATCTGGAGCTTTACTGGTGCTCTCATTTTGCTGTTAGAGGACAGCATTAGGTAAAAGGAGCACACAAGGAGGCAGCAAAAAACAAGAAAGGGACTTTGCCAATGAGGAGGAACAAACTGGTGCAGCTAAGTAGGCAAAATCAGTATTTCACCCACCCCACCCCTTTCGCCCGCTCTCTGTTAGAGGTTGCATAGTCCATCTGTCCAGTGCTGCTGCGCACACTTCCAGATTTTTTTAAGGTGATACACTATGAAAGACCATTCTGCCAGTGTCACAAAGCGCATCCCACATTTGCTTGCAACACTAGTGCATGTACTAAGCCATGCTGATCTGGAAGAAGTTTTTGCTTAAATCCACAGTCTGGTAGTACTTATGACAAACCAAGATGTCACAAAATAGTGAACAACTTTTTCACTTTTTGAGTTTGCTAGAATTCTTCATCAGGATGGTTGCTAACTGAAATTGGAGGGTGGGTGGTACACAGGGGAGAATAAAAGGGTTAGCTGGATGTTGTCAGAAGGGCAGTAGCCCAGTGGTTATGGGCAGAAATGGGTTATCAACAGCTCTGGTTAGAGACATAAGCAAACAGCAATTTTATTACAAGGGTGCTTGCTAAGCTGTCTCCAGCTATCCAGAGTATCCTCCAGGAAATACAGAAGTGCCCATAATATTTATTCTAAAATGATACAGAATTTCAACAACTGTATCCATATACTCTAACATATTTTATGTAGTTTACTGGGGGAAATTTAAAAATGTAGTTGAAATACATATAAAGGGGTGCACTCATGCTAGAAAACCTTGGAGTGGAATTGAAAAGTTTCCATGTTTAAGTTCTGTGAAAGAAATACAGTGAAGGGGTGTATGAGTTGGAACAAATGTATGCTCAAAACAGCTAGGGAAAACTCATACATTAGGCTGCTGAATCAGGAATGGATTTGCACAAGATCAGTTCTTGTAGTGAAAAGAAATCACTGGGCTCAGCATGAGTTTGGACACTGGTCTTCATTTTAACTATACAGAAGTTTCAATGCCACCTTCTCAGCCAGTATCTGGTTGGTGGATTTTGAAGTTCGAGTAAAAGACAAGGTAGATCTGGCATAAAAATATAAGAAGGGCCATGCTGGAATCAGACTAAATGCCGATATAGGTCAGCATTCTAGGCTAGATTGGGGTATGAGCATAACAACACCCTTCTACTCATGTTCCCCGAAACTGGCCTGTCATATTTCCCTGCTACCGAAGGTATTCTATAAAGCCATCTCTTTATATATAGAGAGAGCCCCCGGGCCCTGGGGTGGCATACAAGTAATAACAACCATAATAACAATGTCTGGCAGATGCCGATAGACTTCTCCTCCATTACCTTGTCTACTCTTCCTTGTGAAGCCACCCAAGTTGGTGGTCATCAGTGCAACTTGCAATACTGTGCTAACAGTGTGTTGTGTGAAGAAAATGGAAGAGTCCCCCCTGTGGCCTATAAAGGAGGATGAATTTTGTGAAGTGGTGTGTTTTAATGTATTGTTGTTTGCCACCCATGCAAACTTATCTTGAGTCCCCACAGTGTTGCTTTTGAGTAGATGTGCACAAAATGCCACATTCAGACATCGTTTTGAGTAAGCATGTTCCATGCAAGGGCAGGGCTCGGGGTGGGCCTTAAATCCTTTATTCAATATATAAAATAGCACTGATTTTACAATGCATCCCACCTTCCATGCTATGCAAAACATATTAACAATCAGGAAATGTGCTTCTGTACGCCAATGTCTAGATTTCTTATCAGTTGAAAGCTTTAAAATATACTTACATTCTGCAAGGCTTCCCATAAAAGGTGTTCCTACTCCATTTTTAGAGTAACTAATAAAACATGAACAAAAAGCTGCAATGAATAAGCAGTTAGTTTGAATTACTTATTAAAAGGAATGACTGTCAGGAAAACTCTGAACACTTCATGCAGTATAATTATAGACACTAGTATCTCTAGATATTAAAAAAAATCAATTTGTAAAAGCTTTATGAAAGAAATCACACCAAAATAAGCAGGAGCTGCTCCCACAGCCCCTCCCATTAATAATAAGGGGGAAATTGGGCAGTATCCAATGCTATGCCAATGCTAGTCCAAAGCAAAGCTAGTATGTCGTTAGTCCTTGCTAGAGGAAAGGCAAAAGGGGCAACATCACCATATTTTCCTTTGCCTAGCAAGCAATAATAACATTGCACTAGCATTCATTTGCGCTGGTATAACACTAGTGCTAGGAAAGCACTGAATACTGCCATATGCAACTCTCCCTGTATTTGCTTATGTTACCCAATCAGGAGGCAGAATTCTGCTATTATTATGCAAAACCCGAACTTCCCTGGGACATAATTTTAACTGTTTAAAAAGTGGAATGTACAAAGTACTTTCTGTAGTAGAACACAAACTTAAGAGGAACCACTGACGCAAATGACACTGAGGGGATCCCATATTCATTCTTTCCTCCCCCCTTTTCCCAAGTCCTCTCCTTTTCTTTTGCCCCTCCTCTCGAATCTGAAGATTAACTATTAAATTGTTTCCGTTTGCATTGTTTGGGTAGGCATGGGGAAAAGCTGTATGAAAATATTTAATAAAATAAGATTTTTAAAAATCAGGAATGTACATCCTAACAATGTTCTTTCTGTCTGAATTTGTGTGTGCTTTTTGTACATAAATAGGAAAAAGGAATAACAACAGAGGTAACAGTACCTATTAAAGTATGCCTAAGCTTCTGGAAAGTTCAAGGAAAGATGTAAGAAAGACTTCTGTCTGAGATCAGGGAGAGTCACAGTCAGAAGCAGTAGACCCAATAGTGTGAATCAACAGGGTACCTTTGGAAGTGCACAGGGTGATGTTCCCTGACCAGCATTTTACATTTACCTGGAAAAATGCAGATAGTTTGCAAAAGCAGAAGCAGCCTGCAGCAGCAAAACCGTGGAGAGCACTTTCAATACTGTGTGCATAGGTCCTCCTTTCTTAATAGTTTGCCACAGCGACTGAGCATATATGCAAGCAGCGACAAAGTATGCCAGGACAAGCAGGAAGAAGAATTCATGTAGGCCTGCAAAAAGGATTAGTTCTTCATAGTCATACTCTTCCATTTAAAAATCCAACAATTTCTAAAGTGACTTCAAAAATAAAAGCAAAAGCAAATGTAGCAATAACAAAGTCACCTAGCAGCCGCCTGTACAGATAAAATCCCAGTTAAGAACACAAATCTAAGTAGATTTTTAAGCTTGGAAGCACAACAAACTCCATGGCAACAGAGAGTTTGAGTTACGGTCCCACTATAGATTAGACCTGTTTCCATCCAAACCTGGGGATGGGTCTCCAAACAGCTGTTAAGGAACAGCAGTTCCTGCTCAGGGTGTGCCCCCTAGAGTACCCAGGCCCATATATCATTGAATTATACACACTTTCCGAGAGAGTTACTACTTTAGTAAAACACAGGCTGGGGATTCTATATAATTAGAACAGACAATGAAATCCACTTCTTTCCCGATTTTAAGGACTATGCCATTATAAATATTCACAAAAACAGCATAGCAGCACTGAACTGCTGATATAACATGGTGCTGGTTTGCTCTAAACACCTTCATGTCAACATCATTGAGGGACACTGTTCTTCAAGAACTTTGCAGCCAAAGGATTTGAATAACGTGATTAGGACATGATCGAAAACCATCATACTTTTGAACTACCTTTTGAAAGGAAAAATCATGTCATTTCAGAAAATTCATAAACTGAATGTCTCTGTCCAGAATTGTGCAAATGCAGTTCTGGAATCCATGACCAGGACACTGACAGGGTGAGAGTGGACTTGCGATTAAAGCATTATATGCTTGTCTCGAGGATATGATGTTTGTGAACAATGTGTGCAACTCATGGTTGTCTCTAGATCAGTGCTTCTTAGTCAACTGCCTGAGCCCAGTGGTTGTCATACCTTTCCCCAGAGACTACCTGAAGACTACAGACCACTGATTAATCTTTTTTTTTGGATCTACAAACCAAAGCAACAGGTAACATATATTGTGACTCCCATATTCTTGCCTTTCTAATGTGATTATGAGCCTGTTTCTTTGTTAAGATAGATGTAACGCTTATCAGCTTTAGCCATAGGTCAGGTCTATTCTGGTTCCGGTTTGTATCCAGTATTAGTCTAAGCTAAATCCCATTCAAAGAAAAGAGTCAACTTTAAGTAGTGTGAACATCAGATATATGCCTTGGTACTGGACTGGAGGACAGAAAGTGGAGAATATCCTGCCTTGCACAGGTACAAACAGTCTCACTCTCTGCTGCTGAAATAGTAAATTGTATGCAGAGCCAACTATTCTCTATCATTCTGCAGCTTTCTCATGGATGACCAATGGTACATGGACCACAGCTTGGAAATCCCTGCATGAGCAATAGAAAAAAATATTGACTGACTGGGATGTCAAAACCACACAAGTGATAAGTGATATAATAGTATGAATTTGAGTAGCTTATTAGCAGCAGTTTGGAAGTCTTATGCTAGCCTTTTCTTTTCTGTCTCTCAAAGGACTCTCCAAGTCTGACCACATCCCTAAAGAAGTGCAGACAGCTGCTAATGAAAGAACAGCAGCCTCCCTTTTGCCTCCCACTATGTATCATGTTTGGATGAGACTAACATCTACCCCAAGGAGAGAAACATAAAGCCACATGCTTCATCCACTATTAACGAGCATTTAAGCCACGATGCATGAGCAAAATGTTGTTGCTTCTTAATGTTATAATTCTGAGTATCAGCACTGGGAGTAATTCCACTGAAATCAACGGTACTTACTTATGAATAAAGATGCATTTGATTGCAGTATAAGGATCATTTCCATTTATTATTATGCCTGTTTGTCTCATGATAAAAACAAATGTTTGCAGCACATTTGCTGCCCATGACAATCCCAGTGTTTTAAACAGCCCCTATATACGTTTGCTGGCAGACGTGTCTGACTATTAGATTATGATGCATGTGCTGCATATACCTTTTTTCCATTGTGCAAAAGAGGTTCCACATTTTTGGAAAATTCATGGAAACCTGAGCCCTTGACTAAGGAAGATTTTACTATGACAAAATGTAAGAGGCCCTACAACGGATACATGTTGTATGTCTGTCTTACCACTAGATGTCACTGCTGCAATACTTAAATGCAGGATATGGAGTTCGTGTTCTCTGCACATTAGCCAGTATTGTGTCACGTGAAGGAAGGGTCCTGAGTTTTCTAAGTCAGATATTTTCTTCTCTTATCTTGTTGTCTAGAATGTGTTACTGTCAAAAGTAGCCATTTACACTATTCATTCTTAATTCAATCAATAACATCAGAATAGCTAAACAACTATTTTTCCCTTAAAGTTGTGTTAATAATTGGAACAAAGATGCCAAAATTATTTGGCTACTATTAATGAGTAACTAGATTGTACATGATGCCATAAGTGCAATGACTCCAAGTCCATACTCAAATATAATGTTAACTACATATATAAATAGAGATTTATTTCTCTAAAACATCTGGTTATATAAATGGAACCAATATTCTAGGTAACTGTCAACTGATTGTAATAAAATGATTGTAATAAAAGGACAGGAGACGGGGAATGCATACGGGCTAATTAAAGCAAACAGACAAGCAATATAATTATTACTAATGCATTGCATTTATATCTCACCTTTTTTTCCTCTTGCAAGTAAACAAAGGCAGTTTAATAGTTCTCTACTCATTTTATCTTCACAACAAACACCCTATGAGATAGGTTAGGCTGAGACTAGCTAGGGAGTTTCAAGTTTGTATTGGAACTAGAATTCAGATCTCCTAGGTCCCAGACCAACACTCTAACCATCACAACACACCCACTCTCATTCAAAAGCCATCATTGTATGGATTGTTTGCATTTCCCGTGCAAGTTGTGTTCTCTCTTCCTCCTCTTCCTCCTACAGATAATAGGGTATCAAAACAAACACTTTCCAAAATGGAAATTCTTCATATGGCATTCAATTGCAGCTTTATGCTTTTTCCCACCATGTCAAGAAAAACATCTTACCGGATTCTCCTGCACTAAAGTGATCCACTGGATTCCCCTCTGCGTCTGGGTTTAGTAACATCATTTCAAACTCAACATCCTCAGATTCGGAGTTCTCATAAGTCTCTGCACAGGTAAACTTGTCAACATAAAAAGCAACCCATGTGTCTGGATATGGAACTTGGGACACCGTCACATTTTGTTCCGTGGCATTCATGTTCACTTAAAAAAGAAACAGACTAAATTGGTAAATTCAAAAAACCTTTTTTTTTTATAGGAATATGAAACAAAGCAGAGAACTTTTCAGTTTGGAAATGGCTAGCACTTTTTTGCTATATATACATACAACAAATTACTGAGATCAGTTCTACTTCTCTGTAATGTATCTATATAAAGCGTACACTTCTTACTCTGTTAAATTTTCGAGCAAGTGTGTGTGCATGTGCACCCCTTGAAAACCAAGTGGTACAATCCATCTCAAGTATTACATGTCTACTCAGAAACAAGGACCATGCTTTCACTTGGGTTTAAATGGATATGGGATTACGGCTTCAATTACCTTTGATTTCCCTGAGAAAAAGATAAGTATGTGCTTAACAAATCGACTGCAATCAATGGGATTTAAAGCTGCTAAAGGGAGGTTAGGTTGAGATCACAATGTGTGGTCCAACTGAAATAGTGCTTCAGTGGCATTCCTGCCCCCCCTTTCCTATCTCAACCACAGAGCATGTGCTAACACACAATACTGAAGGGATGATTTTGAGATCTATTGGATTAAATGACATAGTTAATTATGGATACTAATGCTGTATTGCTTTTTTAATTGTCAAGTTTCTGAATCATAATCTGCTCTTCTGAAACTGTGATCAATATACAATTAAGTGAGATCTTGTAATCATTTTCTTTGATACTTTTGTACCTAAAGTAGTCGGGTTCCACAAAAGTGTTACTAGGCTTGAGTACCTGAATTCCTGGCTTCATTTCCAGTCAGCTTATAATTGGATGGCGGTGGGGTAAGAAGATGAGGAGGAAGCCCCCCTGCAAGGAAATGACATCGCATGCTTCTTCTATGGTAGCTTAATTTATCAACTGAAACATGAACACTCAAGATATTCAAAGAGAAAGAGCTAATTACACAATTAAGCGATGAAAACAAACTGCTTTTTAAATCAGTTACAAGGAAAGCAGTTCAGTCTTTAATTAATCTGAAGAGAGGAAAAAATTAGGGGAGGTGAAGAGAAGCAAATAGGATCATTTTAGAAAAAGCAACTAAACGCAGCACAGAGTGCAAGAAGCAAGGCCCGATATGTGGCACAAAGGCTATAATCTTATAGTCACTTAGTTCTGAGTAGACACGTATAGCGCTGCACTGACGCGTGTTTAGAAATGCAGTTTTATTCATTTAAGTTAAAAGGAAGCCTGCCATTATATACTCTGACCCTCAGTGTTTAACACTGAGAGCTTTGAAGTATACACATTATCATTTTTTATCTAAAGGAACAAAGCTGCAATTGTAAATGTACCCTCAAAGCTGTTGTATTATTGAAAGGGTTCCATCCTAAAAGGCAAACTAAAATTAATTTTAAATAGAGTATTTGTAACTGATAGTCTAAATCAGTATTATATCTCCATATTTATTCCTAAAAAAGACTAGATACCAATACTGGCTTGGATACAAATTAACATACAGCACAGTCCTAATGAGCCGACCATCTTTAAACAGAAAAACCATCCAAATTCTTGCCAGTAAGAGCCAAGCAGAGTGGATGGATTGGCAGAAGTGTGTTCACTTCCCATTCAGTCGTAAAAGCATTTCTAGCAAAATGGGCCTCTGAAAATTATCCTGCGAATGGGCAACAGGGAGTCCCTGCTCCCCTTTCCTTGGCTCCCTGCTTCCCTCCCCATGGAGCTTTCCACAGCAGCTGGGAGGAAATACATCAATTTCCCTGGATGGCTGGGTGGAGAAAAAAGAGGCCTGTGCGCTGTCTTACAACCCTTGGGACCATAGCATGGCAATCTTTAGGAAGTTCATGAAAACACGGTTTCCAGTCTTTTCCCTCAGCAGCCTCCCAATTTGTTTCAGAACTTTCAGAGAGGATTTTCAGGGCTCATAAATGACTGCAGGGGAGAGGAAGGCAGGTGGGAAATTTGCTTTCCATCAACTGCCTTAACTTCTCTTTTTCCACAAATAAAAAACGTTTACTTTGATGAAGACCTATGCAAACATCGATGCTTCCCAAAGGAAAATGGGCATGATGGATGCCCAGGGGCTAAATTAATAGCATGTGTAGTATATGAGACTGTAGAACATGTTTACTGATCATGTGGCTATGAACACTTGCAATCGCCAATGTCTGATGGGTGAATACATTTATAAGCACTTTAACTCTTCTTAGTTTTTTTAAAATCCTAAACCTATTTACACAGATAAACTGAAGTATTTAAGGAAGCTATGATCTCACTCAGTATATTTAGAACCAATTCTTCCCAATGAAACTCACTTATCAACTGGGCTTTAGACAATTTTTCTTTACAACTGTATTCCTGGTTGCTTTCTTGTAGCTTTAGCCATTCCTTAGCTTGAAACAGGTGAAGCTTCGCTTCTTTTTCGACAGCTGTTGCTACGTTGTTGATTCTGACATACAGAAGAGCACAATCACCTTGATATTTAAAAAGAAGTCAAATTCTGTTACACAGATCAAAACAGAAACAAGAAAAAAATATTACCAAGAAACCTCTTAAGTCTGGCATTAGTGGCTCTTAATACAAATTATTACCAAATCATCATTGTTCTATCAGTATTTTAGTTTAATTATCGCTTTGTAAGCCACCAGCATTATTTCCCAACTGACACCCATACACAAGATATCCAGGAGAGAGAAAATGCTATGCAAGGAGTTTCCATACAGTCTTACACTGAAATAAATATCTTGTCAAATTAAGTTTCATTTCAAAAGCATGTTTAGGTTTATATAGGTACTGAAGCTTCCTTCTCAAGGTTTCCTGTCCGCAAGTGCAAAATGGGCCACTATGAAACTGTATAATTCACCCCAGTCTTCTAAAATTTAAACTATTTCTGCTAGGATGGCTATTTAAATAATGATGTCATTATTTAAATAACATACTAAAACTCTTGGAGGCAAGATTCTCAGATCAAAGACCTCGCTTACATTTTTCTTTCTGCAATACAGCTGCCAGATGTGTTTCTTTAAAACAAACCCACCCACACCACACTACCAGAAGTAAATCTTGTCAGATAATAACTCTAGTTTTGTTACTTATTGTAGCAATTTTTCCTAGATCAAGTATAATTCACCCGAAAATAGTGCGCATCCTCTGAACACTGTAAAAGGCCAACATCAACACTGAAACAATCTTCAATAGCAGATGTCGTTAATGTTTTGGGGAACAGGAGGTTGCATGGAGAGGGCATTCTTAAAGGGTTGTTGGTACCGTGGAGCAGTGTCATAAATTTGTGGAATATGACATAGATGCATGCAGGCAGCCATTCAAAGCTAGAGACAACTGCCAATTCTATTTGAAGTTATGGGGATAAATGAGAAAGAGGAGTGATAGCTTATCTCACAGGTGTGAAAAAGACTGGCATTTTTCTGTAGTGAAATGCTCATGGGAATTAACATCTGAAGTGGAACATATGGGAGACTGCAGTAAGTGCTTTTGGAAGCAGGAAGATACCTTTTGGTAATTGTGAAAGTAGCCACTACGATCTTCCACAAGGCCCATTCAGAGCCATAAATGTATACATTAAAAAAGACATCTTCAGGAGCCTAAGAAAAACCATGACATTTGTGCGCACCATTTAAGCACTGGAAAATAATGTGCTTCCCACTTTTAGAGATAGTATTTTATTGAAAAGGGTCTTTATGCAGAGTGGGTTGATTAAATCTAGTCTGTCAATTAAGACTTGCTTAACTGGATGACTCTCCTGTTGTCAGGGCACCTGAGACTCGGGGGCAGATGACAGGATGAGGAAGGGCAGATCTCCCCGGCATCTGCGAGGGACAGTGCATGTGGTCCAGGCCAAAGCAGGCTTGCAGCCTGACCGGCACGGTGCGCGTGGATGTCCACAGCAATACTTTCCAAGCGAAGCAGAAACTCGGCAGGCCCTCTTCCTGCTGCCCCCTCCTCACGCGGAGATGCCAGCCCTTCCCCAAAGCGGCCAGTCTTGCGCGCACCGACACGAGAGCAGGTCCCAGTGGACACGGCGAGTCTTACTCCGGAGTAAGCCTGCACGGGAAGGGCTGCAGGGTTTACAGCTCCCCTGCCTGGCAGATTTCCATGGGGTGAGCCCCATGGAAATCCGTAGGGATGACTTCCGAGTAAACTGGCATCGCCCGAGCACCAACTCCCCTCTCCTCGGATCGAACGGCCGCACAAGAGGACAAGCCCGAGGAGGCCTTACCGTGGAACTGGAACTGCGCCACTACCTGGCCAGCCCGGGCCCTGGCGCTGGAGAAGCCCCCCTGCACCGTCTTCGCCTGCGCGCAGGCCCCGCTCCACAGAGCCACCCAGGCGAGCCACAGAGGCCGCTCCCGCCCCATCGCCGCTCCGCGCCGCCGCGCTCCGGTCACCTCCTTCCCATCCCGACCACGTCTGCAGCTCTGCAGCGCCAGCTGGAGCTGGGCGGAGCTACCGGCAGCCAATGGGAACCCGCTCGACCGGAAGCTCAGCCACTGAGCGTCCGCAAAGAGGGGGTGGGCGGGGACATACCTCGGCCAGGACCACCTCCCCGAGGAGGCCAGGTTGCTACCCGGCGTAGAGAGGCCGTTGCTAGGAAATGAGCCCTCCAATCGCCCGCGCCAGTCCGGCGGTGGGCGGGGAAAGAGAGGAGGCGGCGAATGGCCGGGCCTCTTTTTTGCTTGACAGACACGAGAAGCGACCCGTGCGGGAAGGGCGGGATCGCCACGAGCGTTCGAAGCGAGGAGGGCAGCGGCGTGGGAGCGCGGGGATCGCCCAGGCGGCCCCGGTTCGCGGCGGGAGGGGTCGCGGCGCCTGGGACTCGCTGCGGGCTCGCCTGGCCTCTCCCTCGCGCGGCGGGACTCGTGAGCGAGCGGGTGCCTTTCGCCGAAAGGAATCCTTGTTGTCCTGCTGGCCGTCGGAGGGGTGGGGACCGGCAGGGAAAGCAGGAAGAAGGGGAGGGAAAAGCGAAAGCGCAGTCCTACTACTCCGAAGTTCAGTGCTGGCGACATTCAGCGGGACCTGTTTCCGGGCATGTGTGCGCACGATGCAGGCGAAGTGCCCAGTAAGACTTGGCCATCCCCAGAAAAGCAGCGAACAGGGTGGGCTGATCCATGACAAAAAACATTTTTGGTGGAAGCAACCCGTGTTTGGTCTTCCCCAAGTTGCAGATGCTTAACCCGGGAAGCCCGGAGAGCGACATCTTCCTCAGGATGCTTAGGCTTTGCTAGAGCGCCCTCTCCGCTGTGCAGCGCATCCCACTATTTTTAGCTATCTCTTCCTAATGGGGAAACTGTGGGATTCACTTCCATGAGATGCAGTGTTGGCCCACAGTCCGGATGGCTTTAAAAAGTGCTTGCACACCTTCAAGGAGTACAGGGCTATGTGCGGTTGTTAGGCTAAATGCCACCTCCCGTACGGCAGGCTGTGTACACCAGTCGCTGGGGAACTTGGGGGCAAGACGGTTGTTGCACTCCTGCTCTGCTTGTTGGTTTCCCACGGGCACCTGGTTAAGGCAGAGTGTAAACCGAATGCTGGGCTAGATGGCTCCTTGGTCTCATCCACCATGGCTCTTCCTATGTTCTTTGTGGGCATAGGGTTTTTTTGCTCGATAGACACTTGCTAGACATAATAGTTTCTCACTGCCTCTGGGGACAGGGAGTCTGTGTTATGTAGCTTTTGCCTATACTCTCCTCAGTTTTGAGGCTTGGATGGTTTGTGACTTTTAAAAGCAAAGAAGCTATGTAAGACTGTGAGAGCCGGACAGTGGAGAAAGCAGACAGGAAGAAAACTGATGTTGGAAACATTGTACAGGAGGAGAGCTTTGCTAAATACTCTCCACTGACAGAGAAACAAACAAGTGGGTCCTAATCAAATCGAGGCAGAACTCTCCCTGGAAGCAAAAATGATGAAACTAAAATCAAGCACATCAAGATTCGCTGGAGAAAACAATGCCAGAGAAGGTCGGAGGCAGAAGAGGAAGGGGAAGATCTACGGGAAAGACCAACTCTGAGATGGGTTGATTCCAAAAGGAAACCACAGCCTTGAGTTGACAAGAGCTGAGCAGGAGCATAAAGGACAGGACATTTTGAAGGGAGTTCATTCATAGGGATGCTCCAAGTCGGGTGACACTTGATGGCATATCACAGCAACCACAAGCAGTCAGGGTGGGCTGCCTCTGTGCAAATCTGCTACATGGAAACCCTGGCCATTCTGTCATGAAGACGATCTGCAATTTGTGCTGCTATCACATAGCAGCCTTCCCCTATTTGTGCCCTCCAGAATTATTTATCATATTTATTTCCCTCATGGAATATTATATTTATTCCTTCCAAGGTACTCAAGGCAAGTTACAGGATTCGCCTCTTAATCTTATCCTCACAACAACAACTGTGTGAGGTAGGTAGGCTGAAAGTCTGTGACTGGGCCAAAGTCATGCAGTGAGCTCCATGGCTGATTAGGGGCTAAAACCAGATCTCCTGAGCTCCAGTCTTGCACTCTTAAATAACCAACAGCATAAAATACCGAATAACAAAATCAGTAACATTAAAATTGAATATCTCTAATATAAAAAACAGGCCTACAACAACTGCATTCAAGTTAGTCCCAAGGGAGAGTAGCAGAACAGTAAGTACGACATAAATATTGAATAAAAATTGGTTTGAAAATAATCAAAATCATTCCAGTATTACAATGTCGAGGGGATAAAAAGGGCTTTGCCTTTATTAGAGTTAAATGCCACCGTTTTCTTTTAAAGAACCCAGAGTAGCCTGTATCCTTCTCTTCCTCCTGCTCTCAATGCGATCCCCATCAGCAGCCCTGAGGGGTAGGCTGGGCTGAGCGCGGCTGGCCCACGGTCCCCCGGATGGGTCCACGGCTGAGCGGGGCCTGGAGCTCCCGTCGCCAGAGCCCCTGTCCTGTGCGCTTGACCACTAACAACTCCTACTACCCGCCGCCAGCTGGGCTACGGACGCTCGGCATTGTCCCTGGAGGGCGCCAGGATGGGGAAGGCGAATGCGCCCCCACACACGACATTCTTCCGCGCGCGGCCGCGGAGTCCCACTCAGGCTCCCCGAGTGGGCGGGGCAGAAGGCCGCGCCCCTGTTCGCTGTCCCCGACGTCACGAGGGAAGCCGTCAGCGGCGGCGGCGGAAGTGACGTGCGGCGGCGGGGGGGCGCCGCGTCGGAGTGTGGAGCATGTCCAAGGAGCGGCGCGGGGAAGGCGCGGCCCCGCAGCCCCGGGGCTTCGTCAAGCGGATTCTGGTGACGGGCGGCGCCGGCTTCATGTAAGTCCCCGGTCGGGCGCCTCAGCGTGCCGAGTACGAGGAGGAAACCTTGGCGCTGCCTCCCGAGTAAACCCGCGTCGGAGGGCGCTCTTGGTCTTCGCGGGCTTGCTCTGCCGAGGTGGCTTCCAAGGAGTCTTGCGAATTTTAGGCCCTTTTTGTCTAAGGCTTGAAACAGCAGCATCTAATCCGCAAGCCAGATTGCGCTAGGCGTTTGCTACTCAAACGAGAGGGGAAAAGCAGCAGTTTCTCCTGTTGGAGGCGCCCGAAGGCAATTCTGATCCGTCGTAGGGGCTGGATGGGGCTCCGCTTACAAGCTTGCCCTGGTTTCAGCTGAAGGCTAAGGATCAAGGTGGGCTTTGAGGGAGCTTGTGAAAGGACAGGGAGAGAAATGCTTCTCATTTTTCTTATTTATTAAATTCCTTTTTAAGGCTTCTCATTGCAGTGTTCTTGCCTGTCCAACCCCCCCCCCCCCCCCCAAAAAACTATTAATATGTTGTGATTGAGAAGGCCAGCCTTGAACTAGCTTGTATGTAGACATATATTCAGGGCCATCAAGTTCAGCTGGTTGGAATGGGCACAATTTGATTGCTCAGCTGCCAGAAAATGCTTCTTAATATTGTTACCTAAGAAAATCCTTGCTTTTTAATACTCTTTTTTAATCTGAGGAATTATTCTTTAATCTGAGGAAGCCAGTGTCTGATATATACACCCATTTTTGCAATTGGTCTTTGAATATTCTGTGCTTCTCCTGCTTTTTAAGTTATTTATGTCTTACATATAAATATTGTAGCTTATACTGCCTAATAGTCAAAGCTTTCTGGGTAGTTCACAGCAATTTTAGGCAAAACACAGTATAAAATGCAGCCTATTTGTTCTTATTTCCCACAAAATGAGAAAAGTGAAGTAAATTTAAACGTAGAAATAGTCTGATCAAATTTTTGCCATGTTTGCCATCATTTTTTTTTGTGTCGGGGTGCGGGGGTGGGGGACTATCCTGGTGACAGAAAAATAGCTTTGCCAGATGAAAACTACAAAACTGAGAAAAGCAGCAGGGTGCTAGTGGGTTTTAGCATTTTTACAACGCTCCTAAAATCTCCCATTTTATATATGTTAATCTTGTGTATATTTTTCCAAAACTTACAGTGCATCTCATGTGGTGGCTTCCCTTGTAGAAAAGTATCCTAACCATTTGATTATTAATCTGGATAAGGTAAGATTTGTTGTTTAAATTGCCACATATTTGGCAAGCAACCAGCAAATGCAAATCAGACTTTGATTTGGAGGAAACCATTGACATGGAACTTATAAACACCCTGTGGTACTACAATACAGTTTTGTTTTGTTTGTATACTTATATAGGCATCCCCTCTTTCTGGTCATTTCACAAAATGAAGTCTATATAAAAATGCAGTGTAAAACAAACACACATCAAAATGCTATTAAGCCAAAATATAATTAAAACACAGGCTACAATTTAAAACAGAGACCTACAAAATATGTAACAAAATGCTTAGTAGAAACATAAGAGATCTGAATAATCATTACTATACCACTCTGACCCAAATATTCATGCTCTAATTTCTGTTGTTTTCTACTTAAATATCCTGTTATGTAATCCAAAAATCCAAAACTGCCATACTTGCATTTATTTGTTAAATTTATACCTTGTCTTTTAAAAATAACCAATCAGTATAACAATCAACATACTAAGCAATAACATAGTCACAAAGTTAGGTATGTGAGACCAAATAAAAAGACTTCTGCCAGTTATAAACATATTTATATTAAAATGCAGAATAAAATAAACTCAATAGACCAAATTCCTGTTTACTTTTTTAAATCTGCTACTGCAAAGTCATCAAATTGGAGGGGCTTCTCTCAGTAGGGAAATCCCAAAGTGTGGGTGTAGGCACTGAGGATGATTTCTCAAATCTTCACCAAAGATGTTGAGGAGCCCGATAGAAAAGTCTCCTTTAAAGATCTTCACACACAAGCATGGCTTACAGAAGAGAAGTGGGCCATTTGGACAGTCGGAACCTAAGCCATTTAGAACTTTAGACATCATAATGAGCACTTTGCATTTTGTTAGCAGCGGAATGGTAGCCAGTATGTCTAAATTAACCTAGATGTCTACAAGCTCCCCATAACTGGGTCTAGTCAGCAACCTGCCTGCAGTTTCCATATGGGTAGTGTATTGACCTATTGAAACAAGAAATCACAAGTTTTGCGTATCTTAAAGACTAATAAATTTATTACGGTATAAAATTTTGTGGCAGGCTGAAGTTTCCATACAGTCTTCAGAGGGAGTTTCATGAAGAACAAATTGTAGGAGTTCCAATGGGAATTTAGCAAAGGCATGCATCAAATGAGATACAGCCATGGCCCACTCTGACACCTCTAGGGACAGCTGTGGTTGGTACAATAGCCTCACCTGGTTATTGCTAAAAGTTGACATCTAGGTCCAGGAATGGCTGCAGGAGTACAGCTGAACTGAACTGAACTGGGAGTTTTCCAGGGGAGTGCAGCCCTATTCAAAACAGGCTGTAAGACACCTTTCTGCTGACTAGGGCAACCTCTGTCTTTTGTGGAGGCAACAAAACGTGGGCAAAATTTTGTTTGCCCTCATTAACGTTCTTACCAGCATCGATGGTTGATTCAGAACAACATTAGCTTCTTTGAACTGTGATGGAATGAAAGAGGTGGGTGTTATCTGCATACTGGTAACATCAAACTCCAACCTCCCCCAGTGGTTTCATGCAGATGTTAAGTAACATGGGGGACAGAATTGAACACTGTCTGCCAAGCACCATCTTCTGGACACTGCCTTGAGTTCCTTGAAGGAATAAATATAATAAAATAAATTTTGTTTTGCATGCAATGGAAGGTCGCATACAATTTTGTGTGTGTTTTCTTACATTCTGTATTGAAGTAGTTGGAAAATATTTATGAAGGAATCCTGAGTATTCAGAGATGCAAATCATATCAATTTATTCTTGCATTAACGACAAGCTTTTAAAGTTTCAATCTTAAACACACTTTTCCTGAAGTCTTGTTAAAATTAAATGGGGCTTATTTCTGAAGAGGTATATCACTGTGTTGTTAAAATCTTTGACATAGGCTATAAATAATAGCCTATATTTCTTCTTAAAGTGCTTAATGCTGATCCACCTGAGTCACACAGAGAATAAAGTTATACATTAAAAACTTGTGCATGTAGATGCATATCTTCAGCAACAGCCTCATAAAAATATCTTTAACTGTTTCAGTGAGGAATGAGCATTGCAGTGCTGACACAGAACACACAGATAGATGCACAGCTACATCAGTGAAGCCTGTGCATGTAGAAGATTGCTCCTGCACACAGTTCTTCTATGCTGGATTAGGAAATTTGTATTATAAACAAAATGTTATTTGCATTCCTTAGTAATAGAGCATTTTTTTTCTTTTGTTAAGTTGGACTACTGTGCAAGTTTAAAAAATCTTGAGAGAATTTCTAAGAAACAGAACTACAAGTTTGTCCAGGTAAGGCAGACTTTTTGGTAGACTTCTTACTGTGGTCGTAAAACTTAATATTACAGACCTGTACATCCATACCTATTTTAAGTCCTTAGACTCGTTGGAGAATATCATAGTAGATGAGTGTACACTAGATATTATGTGCTGATATTAAAATAATGAAAAGCTAGTTCTCTGGAACATTATAAACCAAATATATGCAGAAATTTCTGCCATTATTTTTAAAAGCAGGAAATATAATTGCTACTAATGTTATATTTTTTCTTTTGCATTTTTAGGGGGACATCTGTGAAAGCAATTTCATAAAAGAATTATTTGAGACTGAGAAAATAAATATAGTGCTACATTTTGCAGCTCAAACACATGTAGGTGAGCATTGAGTATCAATGTAAGCTTCAGCATCTTGTACTGCTAACACAATTGTGTTGAAGATCCTCTAGTTTTTGTGGGTAGGGCTGAGATGATGTTTGTGTTGATCTCATGCTAGTGTTTCTGAAATGGCTACATCTGTATTTTAGTGTGGCTCTTGGAGAGAACATACATCTGTGTGGATAAATTATTGTGAATCACTTGTTGCCTTTCTGCCACTTGATTATTTTTTGTTGTCAAATTAAGAGTACTTTGGTATAGATTAGAGCTACGAGTCTACCCCTAAGACTCTTTGACATGTGGATAACAAGTCTTTGAAAGAATGTATGAGACTTAGCTTTTAAAGTGGCTCTTTGGGCCTGAGAGATGCCGAGAGGAATTCGAATGCATTAGAAATGCTTTGCTCGTCTAAGATAGACTTCTGTAGGTGAGATCACCCCCTATCGCAAGCATGCATCTCCAGTAACTTTGCCCCCTTAAATTCACACAAATATGCAGAATGTTATGCTGGCTTGCTCTGTCATTCACTGTTCTGACTGCTATGATGAGGAACGGACAAGGTGGACCTTCCTGGATCCTTAAGAAGTTGTTTCTTGAGGTGCTGGCTAAGTTGTGCACTGGCTTTCTCCTTGCTCACCTCCCCGTAGGCCAAGTGGGTTAAGCTGAAGCTTCAAGGAGTGGCATTTGAGGTAACAACTCAGACTTCACGGCTTACCCCCCTTCCTCATTCTGGGAAGAGCAAGACCACCTGAGCCACAACCTTGAAGCTGACAATTGTACTCCTCTCCTTCCAGCCTTTGTGTATAGGGTGAATCCAGGGCAAATGAGGAGGCATGGGAGCTAGTTTCTTTTCCACCTTCCTTTTTTGCTACAGGTGTGGTGTGTCCCCCCACACTTCCCCGGGTTATTGCTGCCATCACAGTTTTAGCAGATCAGCAAGGTCAGCAAAGTATTCTGTTCCTGCAGTGAGGAGCCTATTAAAGGCAAATGGTTTGTCTACTATGTAGTTTCAGACAACCCTTAGTTTTGTGTGGCATTTGGAAGCTTAGGAGCACTGTTTACTTATTTTCATCATGCCAGCAAGTCCCTCACGGGACTCTGGCCATGGACTTTAATTACTTTCGTATCCAAACTGAATATTTATTCTTTTTCTCTTAAATTGTAGAACTTTCATTTTGGCGCAAATTTAAATTCAACTATGTTAACATTTATGGAACTTGCATTCTTGTTGGTGCTGCTTATGCAGCTAATGTGGAGAAGTTCATATATGTTAGTACCGATGAAGTTTATGGAGGCAGCTGTGATAAGGTGAGCTTGATTCAAATGTGTATTCATGTCTCTTATCTTTATTCTTGCCTCTGCCCAATACCTTATGACAACCACATGTACAATGCATCTGTCTTTGATGGTATTGCTTAGTTCCCATGACCAATCTATGAAACTGGACAAGTGATAGGAATTGAAATCAATCTACCATAGTATGGTAAGCATATCATTTTAGGTTTGTAGCTATGATTAGGTATTTGAAACTATTCAGAAGCCAAAGTTGATAGATTGTTAGTCTGTACTGGAACATGCTATGCTTTAGATTGATAGTCTTTCGCTTTAGAACTTAGATACCTTTCCATGAAAACTGTCAGCATAATATAGTATAATTGTCTTGTTCAGATTACTGAATCCTTCAGCAATGCATAGAACAAATGTGTTTGTGAGATTTTGAGTGGAAGATAAAGCTAACTAAAGTGAGAAATGATCGAACTGTACTAGAAGAATGGAAAGACTCCTTTCATTGCTAGTGCAGCAATGTAATTCAGCATCTTCCACCTAATTCTTGAATTTGTTGATATAGTTAACATTTAAATAGGGGAGTATCTCTAGTGTTGAAATATATTCATCTTTTAATAGTGTGTTAATCATATGATCTTACACATTTATGTGAATATTATTTAACAATTAATCCTCTCAATAGAAAAATCAACTTGTATCCAGGTTTTTGGTTTTTTGTTTTGGAGTGTGGCAATATATAAAGTCATGTGGATAAAATACACAGTTCAGGTTAATTAAGTGTAATGCATTTTCCAAGATAAGGAAGCGCATGCCTTCCTGGAGAATTTTCCAGTAAAGCCATATAATGAGAAATATAAATACACTATTGGGATTAGCACTATCACACAGTGTAATGTATGACTATCCACAGTAATTGCATGTGAGATCTAACTGACTTTGCCTCCTTCTGAACACAAAGCAATACATTATTTCATTAACATAATTATAACAGCTGCTCCAGATAGCAGTGCAATAATCATTAGATGTGAATTACCTCTAACAACTACAAATCTCTCAGGCCTTCAGCCATAGCATATGCTACTTGAGCAACTTATGTACAATCACCACTTTCATAACTGCACCAAATATGACAGGTAACAATTGCATATATCATTATTATAAGACTATAAAAATAAAATAAATTAGCATGCAAGGAACAAGCAAACATAAATACATAGATATGTATATGCATATTCTGACTGAACAAAAAGTCTTTTAAGGAGGTTGTATGAGTTGTATGGAATTTAAATACTGATTTTTCCTGCATTTTTTCTTACCAGTTTTACTTTGGCAATTAGAATTGCTGGGCTAAAACAATGAGCAAGATTAGGTGTTGTGCAGAGATCTCTGTGGTGTGAGTCTGGCCCCTAGTCAGACTGCTTTTGAAGATGTGTGGCCTAAGTAGTTGTTTTCAGTTCTTTCACAGAAGAAGTGGAAACAGTGTTCTAAAATTCTAAGCATTAAAAAAGAGTTGGTCCCTTAAAGTGGATCTGACATGCTGCTGCAATGTTTAAGAGATGTCTGGGAACGTAAGTGGGATGAGAAGAATGTTCGTAGTTAAGGAAAAAACCCTGAAGTCTTTCCATGAAATTTTGACTCCTTAGGTTTCTCCTTTCAATAAGAGATGAAATAGTAATGGAGCAAGAAGAAAGGATCATTCCTAGTAAAACTAATTGCAGTGGAGTTTAGGGTTTAGTTTTAGTAGTATTTTATGTGTGTATCTAATATTTATAAACATTTTTGTATACCATTTGCTCAGCCATGTTGGCTCTCTGAATGGTTTACACTTAATAAACTGTTTCCACTCAGTAAACCCAATAATCAATTTCATTACTTGATGAACAGAGGGAATCTTTCACCCCTTCCATTATGTCAGCTACCGGTCACAAGAAGGATTGGGCTCGTTGGATATTTTAGAGGCTTTGCTGGGGGTAGATTTTATTAGTACACCTCACTATTCTACTGCTAATTATTGAGTAGAACTGCTATTTTATAATATCATAAATCTAGCCATTGGAAACACATTATAAACACTATACTGCATACAACATTCTTTGTATAAAGCTTTCCTCATTAGTTGGCATGCTTGTTTAAACTCAAGGCAAAAAAAGACATTAATACCCATTTGTGTATAATATTTTCATACAATTCTATTACGAGGACATAATCCTGGCATTTAGCATTGTACATTGAAAAAGAAAATATATCTGTTAACTATTCAATATTTTCTAATTCAGTGTGGTTTCTAGTTTTGCAGTACTCTTATTCATTAGAGCCATTTTTAAGCTGGCTATTAAATCTATAGGAAACATTTTTAAAGATGGAGTGTAAAAATTGTCATTTTAGGAATTTGATGAATCTTCACCTATGCAACCAACAAATCCTTATGCAACATCTAAAGCAGCTGCTGAGTGCTTTGTCCAATCTTATTGGGAAAGATACCAGGTAAATAGAAATGAAACTGCAGGTTTTTGGTGCTATTATGAATTGAGATCTCTGAACATGATGCATACATGTAAGTGCGAATACTTAGAAAATGGTGAAGAACACATGCAGGAACACATTCTTAGGTGAAAGCAATTAAATCTAGTGAGCCATCCTTTAAAAGCATTCATTTTGATATTTTAGGTGCAATGATTTTAACAATTTGCTCTGCTTTAATATAGTATTAGTAAAAATTTGTTCGACATGTAGTGAATTTCCTGGGTGTAAAATAGCACTGTACATCCTATTTTCAACCAAAATACAATTTAAAACTTGTAATATAACTCCACTGAAATGTAATATTGGTAAGCTTGAATGGGAGTTGCAGAGTACTATGTTGGGGAAGTGCCTTATGGGAGTACATTGAATATGGTTGACATAGATACTTAAAAAAGCAAAGTAGAAATAATTAGTTTTAAGTTACTCTTGACAGGAAGCATAGTTTATATGCTTGGTGATAAGTTAGCCATATATTATGTGAAGCTTTGCAAAGTTTGTATGTTTCTGCTGATATATTATTTTGATATTAAATAGTGGATAGTTGACTAATTACTGTTTGTTCTGTTGTGGAAGAAGAAGCTTTATATGACTATTATGTTTGAATTCATGGTAGTAAACTGATCGTGTATACTTTAAAGTTTCCAGTGGTTATCACACGGAGCAGCAATGTTTATGGACCACATCAGTTTCCAGAAAAAGTAAGTTAGATGAAGGTGCTTTAGTCAGTATTATTTTGTATAACAAATTCTTTGTGGAAGTATTCATTACATGATAATCTTTAAGAAATAAGGCACAATACAGCATGGTACAGATTCTGCAAGTTTATTTTTCTTCCCAAATTAATTCCCTCACAAATAATACTCCGTAATAAAGTAGCTATCCTATAAAGTAGCAGTAAGGCCCTGAGAATTAGGGCACTCAGGCAAAGCATTATCATTCACATCTTGCATAATTGTTATATTCACATTTATATGAGATGCAACACTCAAGGCAGAATCAAATGGGGAGCTTGTACCATGCCTGTTTTCATCAGTCCTGCAGGTGGGGCCCAATTTAGCACTTCCAGGTTGTCTTGGTAAAGATAAGTGGAAATCAACTGGGCAAGTCAGAGGAGCTCATACAAAGGAGCTCCGCTGACCCGACAGAGCATTTCTAGTTGCTGCAGGGCCTCCTTTAAGAAGGGCTAAATCTCTGTCCCACAAGTGGGGGGGGGGGGGGGGGGTCTGCTTACAAAGTAGAATTAGTGGGATGCACTGCTTGTGCAACAGAATGTATAGATGCCAGAAGAATCACTGGGGGCACGAGCACCTCTAGGATTCTGTCATAACAGTGCAACCCTATGTGTATTTACTTGGATCTAAGTTCTTTGCTTGATGGCACTTAATCTTTAGTAAATGAGCTTAGGATTGTAGCCTAAATCATTAATTTTTCTCTCAACTTGAGTATTTCTCTCCTTGCAATGGCCATCTGGCTGAGATTGAGGAATGTGCACCAGTCTGGCAAAGGCTACCATAAGTCAGTGGTACCCATTTATTGGGCCAGCCATGGGCTAGGGGAAAGGAGCAGACTGAACCCCAGAGATCACACTCTGGCAATTAATGGCTAATTCTATGTCTTCACTTCTTATGCCTGGCCCCCATGCTGGTAATTTGCTTAGGAGGATAAATGTTAACATGCACAGATTGCCAGTTATAGCCTGATGGTTGTGAGCTCGCACTTAATACGGTTTCATTTGAATTATAGCTTACTGATTGCATCGTTTCCAGTAAGAAAAGCCAATAGTGGGAATGCCTCAGTCTAGGTGGGGGTGTGGGAACATGCATGCAGTAATCCTGGCTGGGTAGTGAACCAGAGGTACAGGTAGGTGCCATGCATGGAGCTCCCCTTCTCAGCCAGCAATCAGGATTTCAGTACAAATGGCCGCATGGGTCAGTATTTTAGCTTTTAAGCAGCTGCCCAGGAGGTATAGCAGGGCACTTGCCACTTACCACAAGCTTCCCAGCAAAAGAGCTTTTGATTTTCACCATTTAAAAAAGATTTAGAGGGTGGGGTGAAAGAAATTTTATCTTAATTCTTAGAATTAAACTTGTTCTCAAAATTATTTCAAAAATCAAAAGGTATACTGTCTTCATTCTAAAGTACAGTGGTACCTTGGCTCACGAACTTCATCCATTCCAGGACTCTGGTCGTGACCCAAATTGGTCGTGAGCCAAGTTAAATTTCCCCATGAGTTTCAATGTAAATAAGGTTAATCCATTCTGTAACCATTTTTTAAATCAGAAAAAGGTGAAGCAAAGTGACAACAAAGATTTCTGCCATCTCCCCCCCCCCCCCCCACCCCCAGGCGCGCCCCTCCCCCCCTCCCCCCCCCCCCCGCATGACTGAGATTGCTCCTGTCATCCCTGCACATGCCTGTCATCTCTGCAGGTGCCTGTCATCCCGGTGCACTGGGGGGAGAGATGGACATGATCATGGGCGCACGAGGGGGGAGAGACAGGCGTGATCAGGCACACTGGGGGAGGGCGAGATGGCCTCGATCGCAGTTCCGTTCGTGCAGGGAAGGTGCGCCTGATCAGAGACGCGCTCTTGCAGGAAAGACTGGCAGAATCTCGGCCATCTCCCCTGCGGCTCTGCTTTGCTGCTCCCGTCTTTCCTGCAGCAGCGCGCCTCTGATCGCAGACGCCTTCCCTGCACGACAGCAACTGCGATCCGTGATCAGAGGCACGTGGCTGCACGAATGACAAGCGGATTTTTGGCAATCTGCCCTGCGGCTCTGCTTTGCTGCACCCGTCTTTAGTGCAGCCACGCTCCTCTGATCGCAGACGCCTTCCCTGCATGCATGGAACTGCGATTGTGGCCATCTCCCCATGGGGGATGGGGGGGGGGGGGATGGCTGCGATCTTGGTCGTCACCCAAAGCAGTGTTTGCGACCCAAGTAAAAATTTTTCAGTAGTTTTTGTTCGTGACCCGATTTGTTCGTAAGCCGAGGCGTTCGTGAGCCGAGGTACCACTGTAGTATGAATTTTAACCACCGTTTTCCATCTTTTTAATACATTTCTTAGGTTATTCCAAAGTTTATTTCTCTCTTACAACAGAACAGGAAATGGTATGTTTTATGGTCGCATTCATTCTTTTAAAACTATGTTTGACGAGATGGGATACTGAACTGTGTTACGCACTTTTACCTGTTGTTACAAATCAACAAAGCCAATAAAACGAATTCTACAGTTTTGGAACCCCATTTATTTCTGGGAGTACTCTAGCATACACACTGCTTTTGGTCAACTAATAAAGAGTTGCAGGGATTCCTGATTACCTGCTCCATCTGCAGAGATTGCAGACCTCAAACTGGACATGGGCATGGGTTTGTACTTTTGACTGCTCTAAAGCTTGGCTGAACAAGATTTGTAACGGTGGGGGAAAGGGGACCTTTTGGCTTTGTATCTCCTTGACATAAATTTGGGCCTGTTACATAGGTTGCTAGACTGCTGCTGCTGTTGGATGTATTCTTATGGCTGCATTTCCCCATACATTAAAAATAACGTCGTGCGACACAACAGCTGCTTTTTTAGTGTCGTGGCAAATGTTACGCATGCAAGATGTATTTGTTATTAGTAGCTTCACACTTTGCCAAACCTGCCATGCTGTTACAGCATGCATTGCAAAGAATGCATGTCCAGATCTCGTCTTGCTGATGCCAGAGTGTCAGACCTGGAATAATCCAGTCAAGCTGCGACAACCCAGATTCAGGCTGGACATCAGGAAGAGCTTCCTCAGTGTCAGAGCAATACCACAGTGGGACCAGTCACCTAGAGAGTTTGTGGGCTCTCCCACGCTAGGGACATTCAGAAAGAAACTGGGCAGCCATCTGAGTGGGTTGGTGTAAATTGGTGCCCTGGACTAGCAGGCTGTTGGACCCAGTGGCCTTCATGGCCCCTTCCACCTCTGCTACTCTATGATTTCAAGAATATCAGCTTGAATCCCTCTATAGGCTGGCTCTGCTTGGCTTTTGATGAGTTTTATGATCTTGAAAATCTGCCTAGAATGTTTAGGGGAACAGTGGTTGTCTTGGGGGCTGTTTTTACATGCCAAAATTAATCACTTGTCTTTTTTCCCTGTTAGTTGCATTCATGGCTCAGGACTTCAGAGAAGAAATTTTCTTTATGCCAGTGATGTAGCAGAAGCATTTCTTACTGTTATGAAGAAGGGACAGCCTGGTGAAATCTATAACATCGGGAGCAATTTTGGGATGTCTGTTGCACAGCTTGCAAAGGAATTAATCCATCTTGTGAGTAATAAATCTAATTGAATATTGCTGGCTAAGTAGCTTGATTAGACCAGTGATTTAAATTGATGCATTTGAGTGAATGAATGATCAGACAAATGATGTTCACAGGTGTTGGGGGGTGGGGTCAAGATTTTGTGATGCAGGTAGCACTGAGAAACTTTTACATTTCAAATGAATGGTAGGTGTTCTGTGAGACTATTTTAAGGAAAGAAAGTACATTGAACACTTGAGAGTATAATATGCATTAAGAAATTATTCCATGTAAAAGCTGCCTGCGTTTGTTCAATAGAAGTGGCTGTTCATGGAGTATGATAAAAATTGATACATTTTGTTAAGTCTTTTATGGTCAGTATGAATTTTTCCTCAATGACAGATAAAACATACCAATTCCGAAGCAGAGACAGAGTATTGGATGGAATATGTTAAAGACAGGTAGGATACTGATGAATTGAAAATTACTCCAGTTCTCAAATGAGAATTCTTTGGTTTTGCCCTTATTGTAGCTAAATAAAATATTGTTTGCCACTGGATTAGAAACTCTTTTTCACTGCCTGCTTTTTTTCTTCAGCATGTTTTTCTTCTTGTAAAAATTCTCAGTCTTTGCATCACTTTCAGTTCCTTTATTAATCCCATATTCTCTGTGTTAAAAAAGATCAACAGGATTAACTGTTTCTTATTTTGACTGTGGATCACTCCTCTTAATGCAGACAAACAGTTCATTTATGCTTTTATCTGCCCCATCCCCTTTCCTTTTGTGCTGTGTCTTTTAGATTGTATGCCTGAGGGCAGGGACTGCATTATTGATCTTTGTAAACCTCTCTAAAAATCATTTTTTGGGAGAACAGTGAAATGCTTTAAAACAATATCAAGTGACTTGCTTAAGACCAACTGCTTAAGGCATTTCTACAGTTAAATAATGATTCCATTTTTAAAGAAAAACTAGTGTTTTGATTTGGATTTTAAAATTAGTCAGGGTGCACTTTATTTTTATTTGAATAGTTTATAGTTTTATAGGCTATTGAAGCAGTGCGGTCAAAAACAAAAGCACATAGAATGTTCTTTTTTAAAGGAATAACACGTAGCTGCTGAAGTATTCCTGAATGTGCCCTGTTGTTGTCGGCTTCCTTTTTCATTCCATTTATAATTGCTTCATCTGCTTCCATGCTTAGTAGTTGGGCATTAAGCAAGCTGCTTAAGTAGCTGTGGTGGATTGGTCTGCTTTTATGGGAGGTGAGCTATCATCAGTGCAGCCTTGTGAACAGTTGCTCTTTCAGTGTACCCTTCCTCACAGATTTCAGGATACCGTGTGGGCGACGGGCAGTCAGGCACGGCAGGGGTTGTGCCCCCTCCTCCTCTGCCCAGCTGCTGCTGTATCCTGGGAGGAGCAGGGTGACATTGGCCAAAGTTTTGGGTGCTGCCATCAGCTTCCCCTCCCAGATTTTGGCAAGACAGGATGGCTTGAGAGCGGGGGTGAGAGAGGAAGAGCTGCCTTGCGCTGGGCTCGGAAGCCCACTGTGAAGTGATCCACTGCCCAGCTGAGCAGTGGCGAGGCTGTCCTTGTCTCTTCCTGATGCTCAGGAATGACATGCCATCGCTGCCCAGTGGGGAGGGGACAAGGGTTTGGCTGGGCCGAAGGTGCTGCCCTGGGCCGTCGTCTCTGGCCTCCTACCCTGGGATGGTGTGCTGCCTGCGGGTGCCGCACCGCTGAGAGCTGGGAGGTGGTACGCTGGTGTGTGCTGTGCACTCCTTTCTAAATTCTGGCTGGGGCTTGGAAAGGGGGTGAGGGGCGGGGAGTAGGGCAACCTGCCTTGTGTGCCTTCTCGGACAGGAAGAGGCATGCAGGGCAGGCAGTGGGAAGGGAAGTCCAAGTTCCTGCCAGCACTGAAGAGTGGCAAGCAAGAAACGCCGTTCTCTCTCTGGCATTGGCAGCAGCCTCTTGGCCAAAGCAGCAACACTTTTTTACTGCTCTGCCAGGTGACTCTTTCAATTTTCAGCTTGGCCCTGGCTTAGTGTAGCCTCCAGGGTGGCTTATAAACTACCAGTCAGGAAGACTTAGATGGGCTGAGTTTCGACGACACTGTGGTTTATAAGCCGTGGCGGGCTGTCTTCTCATCCTAGCCCAGTCAGTGAGAGCTCCTTGAACAACTTAAAGGAAGAATGGGACTTAAATATAATAAACTTTGAAATGGAAATTTGAAGTCTTTTACATATTCACAAGTCCTCGAAACTATCTTGGCATCTTAGTCCTTGCAAAATGCTTCTGGGTGCTAAGGATGTATACTTATAACCAGTGATTTAAGGTTCTGGCTTTGGCAGGGAGGGAGGAATCTGGTGCTCTAAATTCTTTGGGACCTAATTTAGCATGTTTGGAAGATGCATATCTTTTGTTTTAACACCTGTCTTCCTACCTTAACTTTCACTTTTGCTTCCTCTGTCCCCTTCTTCACTTTACCTTAGAATTTGGGTGTAAGAAACACCTTAAAGGGAAAACTACTCAATTAAAATGTGTTTACAATTTATTATTTACAAGAGTTGAATATGAAAGTCATAGAAGCTTGGAATGGTCCAAATGGACAGGTATTATAGCCATCATTATACTAATTATTAAACTATCATTAGAAATTAAGATTTGCTGCCCCCAAATTAAGCAATGCTTAACTTCAGGCCATGTAATTTTCAGTTTCACTTACACCTAGTTATGAGATTGCAGTCATCCATTAGGAGGTTGGACAACAACAACAGCAACAACTATTGGATGACTTGAATCTCTGAATCACTTGAGTGTAAACAGCATTCTGCAAAGGAGTCTGTATTTGATGACAGGAGGAAAAGAGCATCAACATAAGAATTGATGCAAAGGAAGAAAGTGCTTGAGCTTGAATTGACTTTTGACAGTGATGGCTATACATGTTATCAGAAACAAGTTGTTTCCACTGAAACGTTCTCTTTCTTTTTTAAAGACCTACAAATGACTTGGGATATCCAATGAATTCCGGAAAAATGTACAACTTGGGTTGGAGACCTAAAGTACCTTGGAAAGAAGGAATTAAAAAAACAAGTACGTTTTGCCAGTACATTTAGAATGACAGTGCCAAGAAATGCAACAGTACTGTGTTCAAAGGAGTTGGTTTTATAGGTTATTTTGGAGAGTAAAGCTTGACAATGTAAAAGTATTAAATATTCACAGAATCAGATGCTATCATTTAGAAAGCAAGGTACTTAAGCCTGTTCTTGTATTTATATTTGCCTGCAAGAGGAAAATGAAATTGAATTTTATGAGCTTGCAAGTTGATAGTGCATGTTGGAGAGGCTGATAAACAGTTTTCATTCTATCATTTTCCTTGTACTTGACAATATAATCACTTAATGACATGTTTATTTGGTCTGTGCTTGCATCGCTAGAATAGCACCAAGGAATAAATTGGCAATTGTGATAGCAGTCGAAGGTGGCCAGCTTAGATTTTTCCATGTAGTATTTTTATTTAAACATGATCCATACTAGGTTGCAGCTGGCCGTGATTCCACTTTTGCCATTTCCATTGTTAGTTTAACTGATTAAGTTCATAGGTGATTCTTCAAGGTAGTTTTCAGCAAATGGCCATTTTTGTTCAGAAGTATGAACTCTTCAAAATTTAATGGGATGCTGAGTCCCTGCATGAGTGGAAGGGATTTCTGTTCATGTAAGAGGCCCCCTAATTTCCCCTTCCCCTTTCTTTTTGCTACGACCTCTTGCCATTCTGGAGGACCTCTTGACTTGATGGAATGCCTTCTGTTGTGCAGATAGGAATGCAAAGGAAGAGATGAAAGGCATGTTGCATGAGCAGAATTCTGGGTGTATTTTTCTGAAGCTAACAGATGGCGCAGTGGTTTAAACCGCTGTGCTGCTGGGCTGGTTGATCAAAAGGTTGCCGGTTCGAATCTGCACAACGGGGCGAGTTCTCGTTGCTCCGCCCCAGCTCCTGCCAGCCTTGCAGTTCGAAAGCATGCAAATGCAAGTAGATGAAAAGGTACTACTTCGGTGGGCAGGTAACAGCGTTCCGTGCACTTTGGTGTTTAGTCATGCCGGCCACATGACCACGGAGACTGTCTGTGGACAAACGCTGGCTCCCTCGGCTAGGAAACGGAGATGAGCATCGCTCCCTAGAGTCAGATATGACTGGACTTAACATCAAGGGGAAACCTTTACCTTTAACCTATAGCCGAACAACTTTTGTATATGATCTGAGACAGTACTTTCCTCCTTCCGACTTTGGGACATTCTCGTTTTCTGGAGTGAGGAATAGTATTGCTTATCCAAACATAGAAAGAAAAAGTTATTAATTTAAAAGGTCTCAATTATTTAAACCCTAATAATCTGGATAGCTTAAATCCATGCCTTTTGGCTTTTGAATCCTCAGGGATAGCCTTTCAAAGTAGCTGATACTTTCTTTACCAAATCATGAAACAGAATCTTCTTCAAAATGAAAATTTCATTTTCATGAATGTAATTAGATTGTGAACACAGATGGTAATTCTGGGTGATCTTAGTAGCAAGTTTTTTTTTCTTTTTCTTTTTGCAAACCTGCATGGAATTTCACTGAGAGTGCTTATTATATTACTTGTGCTTTAAAAATATTCCTTTTCTAAAAACTCTAGTTGAATGGTATCAAGAGAACTTCCATAACTGGAAGAATGCAGGGAAAGCTTTGGAGCCCTTTCCTATTGCTGAAGAACATCTTTGATTTGGTCTGCAGCAGAACCAGAAAGAAGAAAAGGAAACAATTCTACCTCAAGACTACATTAAGAAAAACCTTTACTTAAGTGACTGAAGTGTGAAAGGTGTCCTGTATTCAGGAAATGTCATTATCAGGAAAGGAAGCAGAATAGAATTTTAAAATTAAGCTTTATCTCATTTGGGAGCCAACATAATGTAATCAACATTCCAGTGCAATACTTTAAAATGCTTTTTTTAAATTAAAGTTTTTAAAAATTAAATGATGCACTTTTGATACAACTGGTTTATATTATTAATATATTGTATGAACAGTGTTATTAAAGCAAGCCTACGTAGCATTTTAAAAGATACTTTCTGCTGTTAATGGATTTACAGTGAAAAAGAGCTGAGCCCTCATTTTGACTTTGCAGGAATCTTTGCGCAGTTGTTTGAAATGCTGCCACAGTGTTGGTGGTCTTGAGCTTAATGATTTAAAAGGAAGGGGGAATTGCCTCCTAAGCACTCTGCAGAAATGACTGGCATATGACCAAAGACTCTCTTGACCTCAGAAATACAGGATGGAAAGCGAAGCGCTTAAGCGAAATAGCGAAGAACTAGAACAAGCTGCTTGCTTTGACTATATTTATCTTTATTTGTTGCCTCTTGGCATTCTTACTTTTTATATGTGTGAAATGATGCAAACAGTATTAAAGTTTAGCTTCCCAGAGTTATAGGTAACATATCCAGTGTGTGTTTTTCCTGAAATGCATGTGAAATGGTATTACCTGATGCTTCTGAGGTAGAGTGAAAGAAATGTTATCAAAGACCAGAGTGCTGCCATAGCTGGCAACTTCCTTGCGGCCGAGCACCAGTTATCTGGTGCTGCACCACTTTAAGTATACCTGTTTGCCACTGCCTCTTCAATTCTTGCAATGCCAGCATTGTCACAAGAAGTTCTGAAGATGTACCAAACAACTTAGTTTGTCCATTTCTTCATGGCGTTGAAAGGATGGCAGTTTGCTTCTTTGCAATCCATGCTTGCACCTATACAGTATGACAGCCACAGTTCTAAGAGTCTAGAAGCACTGTTATCTACATTTCAGTGGTCAAAATTATTTATCATGTTTCTGTACCAAGGTGTGTTACAAACTTTCAGAACCGAACATACTCAAAATACAAACATAGTAAAACATCATAACAATTTAACATTGTAGGAAGACAAACTGGCCATTATTTTGCTTATTTAGCTCTCAGTATGAGAAACTTATCATTGATTGAGTGCCCTTTATATTTATCAAAGCATTATTAAACCCAGTATAATATGCTGGCCATTAGTGAAGTATTCCAGATAATCATGATCTCATTTAAATGCTCTTCTTACCTGTGCTAGCCATATGTTTAGCAGCATCCCAGCAGAGCCCAGAACTCAGTGGTCTGCTAGTAATGCAAGTTATAAGAAAATTTAAACAAGATGCTGGCATGAAGAAATGGTTTGCCCAAGGTCAGTCCAGCCTTGAAAATCGGGCGAAATCTTCAGCAAAAATACTTGCCCAGTAAAGATATACTCCTGTCTACTCGGCCGCGAAAAGAAAATAATAGCAAAGATCACAGACTCTAATTGTGAAGAATATTAGCCTATGTCACTTTTATTATTAACAGAATAAACTAGCGACAGTCTATCAACCTAATTCCCTCAATTAGTTCCCTGAAATAAAAGTTGCAAGGACAGAATAATTAATCTTCCATGCTTTATGGTAAATTAGGCTGTTGTGAAGACTACCATAATCGCATCTTCTTTCAGTGGTACGTTTACTATTTTACATGAGTTGCAAGTTGGTCAATGTTACTCATAGACCAGGTTCCAGAAGTGATGACTACAGTTTGAAAGTACTTCATTACAATCTCTGGGCTCATTGAGTTCAACACTTCATTACTGAAGCCCAGCTTTAATTTATGCATATTTGTCTTGCATGTATCATCTTGAAGTTACAGTTTTAACAAAGATATATTAGGCTATTAATGGGAGTGGGGAAGCAGCCAGCGCAGGGCAGACTTCCTTTTACTAGAAACCAGAGATCCAGCAACTACAGCCAGAGGCGAGGAAGATATATGTTTCAGTGTAAAGAACTCGAGCCCAGGAATCGGTTGCAAGTAACAACTTAAAGAAGTGAACAGTCTAATCTACTTCTAGTTGCTTCAAGCTTTATTTCAGCAGTATAATTGGGTGAAGGCAGCAAGTCATTGTGTTACAGCTGCTGTTTAACTGCACAGAATCAGAAACTTGCCATTCCATTTCAGATCACCAGTACATTCCAGCTTGCTTGCTGCCTGCCCCTGGTTTGCCATCTCAAAGCATCCCAGCCAGAGTATATGTGTCCTTTAGGGCAAGAAAAGAGGAATGCATGACCTAGAGCTAAAGTGAGAATTCATGAACCAACCGATGGGGGTGGGATCTGCCGAGTTTGGAGGAGAAGATAGCATTGCTCTTGCCCAGTAGCTTGGGCAAGTTTATGTTTTCAGAGGTTCAGGATGGAACGATGGACACCAAGAAGAACTTTCTTAAAATGGCAAGGAAATGGAAGTGGAAGGAATTCTGAAACCAGGTGTTCTTACACTCGCAGTACTAGTATTCCAAGCTGCAGTGATGTTAGAAAGGTGTAGACTTCAGGATCGCCTGCAGTCATCACACATACCAATGCACCCACTGCAAGTAGATCACATTTCCCCAACACCTTGGAAAATCGAAATTTCCTCACTGTCACTAGTCACCATTAACTAGTTCTGCCTATTGAACATGAGCATTCATTTCAATGTAGAAGAACGAAGATGAATAAGGAGAGGGGGGACATATGATGGTGCTCAGAATTGCTTGCTGCAAAGTATACTGCCCATCAAGCTTCCTTTTCTCAAGAAGTGAAGTAACTGTCATGTGAGGGAGCAGGTAGTGATGGTCCAGTTGATATCTATCAGCAGGCCTCCTGCTTGTCCCAAGCTGCTGTCTTGTCTTTGTAAGCCACCTTGGAAACTGGGCTGAAGAATGGTTTAAGTGCTGTGAAAGAAAGAAAACTTGCATGCAATTCAGAACCTCCTGTTTCACTACCCATAGGCTTCCAAAGCCATGCAGCTCGGATGACACGGCTCTTTGCCAATCATGCATGCAACTGCCTCCCAGAATATCTTTGTAATCACAGCCAGCCCAAGACCATCCAGGACGTGGCAGCAAATGATACCGTAGTTCTTCACCTTCCCAAGACATAGCCCTGAAGATGGCTAAGTGATGGCTATTCGGAAGAAGAAAATCCTGCAAGCTCCTCTTTTGGTCCTCAGCAGGAAAAAAAGATACAACCATAATTAAAAACAAATTTGCTGTCCTTTTTACACCTGCCAGAGGCAGCCTCACCCCTCCTAATGGATTGGTCGGCCTTGTCAGCATGATACCTTCCTTTGAATTCTATCCAGAACCCATCTTTCACAAAGCTCGGGCCCTATTTCCGGTACCCTACTGTAGCTTAGAATATGTAACTGGAATTAAAGGCATAGCTTGTTCTTGATTATCCTGCCTCCCTTTCCCACTTCTCAGCTCAAGGTAGTAAGCCCCTTGGAGCACAAACATATGCTCTTCCTGGGGTGTACAGAAGAGTCCCTGGCACAGCTATGAGGAGGCATCGTGCAGCTGTTCTCCCTCTCCTTTCACAGATTTTCAGTGGGAATGAAAAAGGGTGGGGGAAGCAGTAGGGAAACATGGGCGGGTCATCTGTCTTCCCTACTCCACCCTAGTCAAATGCTCCATGAACGAGGCCAAGATGAAGGTACAAGAAAACCTTCATGTGAAAGGAACCTCGGTAAAGTCCCAGCAGACTAATGGCACTTTGTGCACTGGATTGCAAAAGAAAATAGAAGGTGCCGGAAGCTGGTAATGCCACATTAAGTTGAAGAATGTGGGTAATAACAGATGTATCCTTTATAAAGATTGCAACATCTCTCCAGATTTATATGGATAACTATATGAATACATGGTTTGTATGCACATAAATTATCTTGCTGTTGCCTTCAACCAAGTAAATAAACCAACCCTAAACTTTTGTTGGTGTGTGTGAGATTCCAGAAGCAAACTTGATCTATTTCATCTCATAACGACAAAGTCTTGTGACACCAGAAGGCAGCTGTTGTGGACTAGAAGTGTGTGCAATCATACATGTGCTAGTCTTTAGTATCCGGTAGTGTTGTTGTTCTTTCAACAGCAACCGGCTAGCAGGACTACCATCCAGAATTTATCCTCATTGTTAGACTTACTTGGAAGTAAATCTCAGTAAAGACCTGTGGGTCTTACTTCAACATGAACATGACTAGGATTGGGCTGCAGGCCCTTTCTGGCACCACTCATGGTGGGAGAAGCACAGAGAGAAAATGGACGAGCAGAGGCAATGCAGGGAAGTGGCCCACCTGGGCTGGAGCCCTGAATCTCTGGGAGACCATCTGCCCACCAGGTTGCAGGCACATGTTGAAAATGCAGGTGGAAGGGCCTGATGGTCTCTACTGCAGCTGGTTGCCTCTGATTAGCTGGCTTTTCCCCTTGTGCTTTGCCTCCTGCTCTGCCCCACCATGAAAATCTTCCTGAAATCTTCTCTTTTACAAACAGGGGAGGGGATTTCTTATGGTGCAGGGTGCTTCCAACACATACAAAATTTAGAGCACATGTAAGTTAACATATGCAAGCTTCTGTTTTTTAATTTTTATTTTTCCCTGTGGGCCCAAGTCCCAGACCTTCTCAGTGCTTACCACCACCTTAGCCTGCAGATCTAGTCCCCCTTACTTTCATGCTTGCTGCTATCTATCTATCGCAAACCTACTGCTGCCCAGAGCTTTGGGAGCTTGCTCAGTTGGAAGGAACCATCTTCAGGCTTGGTTCTTTGCTACTGTGCTAGATCTCAATTTGAAGGCCCGGTTTTGCCTTATTTTTTTCACCTGGTCATCTCATGGCCTCAGTTATTAAGAACTGGCTTTTCAATTAAAATGAGTTGTTTATCAGTCCTGTTGGGTTTCAATAAAGGCAAAAGTTCAGCTGCATGTGAGCTTAACCTCCTGGATGGACACAACCCCAGGTGTGCTGAGGCTAGAAGAATAAGTGCTTAAAATTATAAGCAAACCTCAGTGGGGAAAAGCAGGCATGGAGATGCCATGCTCCTGATTTATAATAATACTGTTATGCCATGAGCTAAAACAACATTATGAACGTATTTTATTTTATATTGATTTGCAACTGGTAAGTGCTATCTGGTTAGTTTTCCTTCCTCCAGCAAATAATGCATATCATACCCCCTCCCGTCTTTCATTCTCTGCTCTGTCCTTATTTGCCAACAGCAATGGCAATATTAGCCCCAGCAAATGCGATCCCTCCCTTGGCCTGGGTTCTGCAATTTGGTGTAATAGCGCCTGAAGAAACCCCATCCCAGCTATTTCTTAAGCAGAGATGTCAGGGTTCGTTTGAAATCATCTTACCACCACAGCCATTTGACTTAATATGACTAGAATCCGCAGATAATTCAATAAATGTTGAAGGACTGCGCTACACAAAGTCAATTGTCAAGACAAGGTCCAAAGTGAAACCACAAAATGAATCACTCAAAAAGAAGGAAGTGATTAGAAAGTCCCTTTTCTAGGGTGTCCTTCCAGATTGCAGATCGACTGCCGAAATAGCTCAGTTGGGAGAGCGTTAGACTGAAGATCTAAA